TAGGAAAGAAGACTCAGAAAAATAAGACTGGATGAAACACCTAGATGGCAACAACACCAAGAAATCGAAGTTACTCAAGGAGGAACAGAACAACTGTGGAAGAAAAGGAGCAGGATATTCCAATAACAGCCTTCAGGAACAGCAGAAACTTGAGAGTGTGTTATTGCTTGAGGTCAAGAGGTGACTGCTGAACTGAAAGAATAGCCTATCGTTTAGCCTTCAGATCATTGCTTGTTAGTTGATTATGCCCATCCTCAGAATGGTGGAAGGGGGAGACTGGAGAAAGGAAAGTAAGACTTGGCAGTTTAATAGTCAGTTGTGATTGAAGCTCAGAATAAGAACTGGAAGTAAGGAGTGTCTGACAGAAGGAAAAGAGAAGGGAGCAGGTTTGAGTTTAGGATAATTAGAAAGTGACAGAAAATGTGTGTGCGTTTGTCTTCAAGTCACCTGTCAATGTATGGTGACCTTACAAATTTCATAAGGTTTTCTTAGGCAAGGAATATTTAAAGGTGGTTTTGCCAGTTGCTTCCTCTGAAATATAGGCTAGAAACACCTGGTATTCATTGGCTGTCTCCCATCTAAGTACTAACCAGAGCTGATCCTGCTTAGCTTTCAAGATCAAATGGTATCTGGTGCCTTTAGAGTATTTAGGCATGATGCTGAGAGAATGGAGGGAGCCAGCTTTGTACTTGTTTTTACAACAATGAAACTGTTATTTATTGTTTAACTTCAGGCTATGTTGTTTCATTCATGAGACTTCAGACTTTCAACCATACATTATCAAGAAAGGGAAGATATATTTTTCATTGTTTGAAGGTGACTTAGGATGGATACAGTAAAAGGCAAAGAAGGTTTTAGAAGAGGGGGTAAAACAGGTGGCAGATAAGTAATTTGGAACAGGTGTATTATCACACTTTCCCTACCATCTTAATATCTTGAGAAGTCCTCCTCAGATGAGGAAGAGCTCTAGCTGAAAGAATCTGAAGTGAGCTGGAGATTCAGACCCGTCCAGGCTACCTCTGGGGCCAATGGAAGGAGACAGAGCTAAGACCTTCCAGTTGGGATCCACTCACTCCTTAGGAGCAGGAAGAGGCCATCCCACTATCATGACAGTGAGAAAGTGGTTTAGCTGTAAAAGTGTGTCAGGAGTCAAGGGAGCCTAATATGGCAGAAGCCAGCCTCACCAGAATCAGCTGTGCTACCCTATCCTGGAGTCATGAGATTGCTGGTTTCGGTGTCATTATTCCTATCCATGTTATCTTGCTGCTCATTCATGAATGCCTTTGGCTTCTTGACCCAGGCACACACTTTGGAGTCCTCTCAATGTTTCTCCTTGATTGCTTCTGAACCTGGTAAGAAGTCATTGTGTTTGATCCAGGGCTGCCCATCAAGAAATATCTCTGCCTGCTCTTTTACCATAGTGTGATATGAAGCGGTATATAAATGAAGCTGCTTTGCTTTGCTTTGATTCTGAATACCTGTGCTTGACCTCAGACTGGATTTGACAGATTTCTGGCCTTAGAGTGGAAACTGGAATTGTTAATCTGTGCCTTATTCTTTGTAATTATGTTAGTATGTGCCTTATTCTTTGTAATTAATTATTGGCACAATCCTCTCAGATCAAGCCCTTAGTTTTATTAGACTTTTTTTTTCTGGCTAGGTTGGAACAGTTGAGAAACTACTGTGATATGGCAGTGGCTTTTTCCCTCCTCAGCTTTATAACAAATAACTGATCTGGAAGGTAATTCTACATGAAGATAGAGCACACATCTTGAGCTACCCAGCAGTTTTGAGTTATAGTAAAATTTTGTCATTGCTGATTATCTTTATGCCCTAGAAATTCCTAAATATCATTGAGCCTTACATTTGTAGAGGATTAGAATAAGCCAAGGTGAAGACTGTACAGTATTTAGGGATCTCTAGAGCTTAAAGATAATCATTTGGGACAAAGTTTTACAATTTCCAGCTGCCAGGTAGCTGAAAATCTGGTGGGTTTTTAAGAAGGAAAATCTAATATATCTCCTATGCCCAATATACCTACCCTTGCTAGTCAGGTACGTTTGAAAGAGATGAATATATTTTACTATATTGTCTTCAGTACAAGGATATCCATACTTTATATAATTACTACAGTTTTAACAAATTGTCCAGGTAGATCTGAAAATTTCCTTTCTTCCCTTCTTCTTTCAGACTCCATTAATGAAATTACCTTTCAGGAGGCAAACTTTGTATTTTAGCATGCTTTGCTACTAGGAGGTATCCTCAGTGAAGACTGTTACATTTCTACTACTGTGTGTATATATCTTTGGATATTTCTGTATAGGTTGTATCTCCCTTATCCAAAATGCTTGGGACCAGAAGTATTTTCAATCTGAGAATACCTGGATTTGCATATACATACATAAGGAAATATCTTGGAGATAAAACCCAAGTCTAAACATAAAAATCCTGGAAGCCCAGCACCACCGAGGGTCACCCCGGGGAGGCTTCTTTACTATTGCACTATTTCTGGCAGTCTGCAAAGGCCCTAACTGTGAGACAGACTGAGAGAAGGAGATTTGCAAGTCTCTCATTCACAGGATTGTCATGAGTCAAGGTCAACTAAAAGGCAGCTAACAACAACAAACAGTTTTGCATCCAAAATTCATTTTACTGTATGTCACTCTCCTACTATGGATGGGCAAATTTATCACTTTTCTGTCCAAATCACTTTTTCATGAATTCATCCATCTGAATGTTCTGTCCTGTTTGCCCATTCATAAGCCAGTCATTGTTTATTTTTCAATAACGTTTTCATTTTCATTGCATGTATTTGCTTTTTTGCTTCTTCTTTTTTTTTTTTTTTTTTTTTTTTTTTTTTTTTTTTTTTTTTTTTTTTTTTTTGCTTCTTTTTGGTTTTGTCATCTTGGAGGTACTAGTGGCAGCTGAAGATATTTCAACATTTTATAAAAAGATGTAAAGAATATTCAGAATTGTTCTTGTCTTGTAAAGGATATCTCAAAGCAGCATGAAAGCTTTTGTGCAGTTTTGATAATTTTCACTTTTTGTGATTTCAGAGAAAATTTCATTAGCATCAAAACACTATAGTTTCTATATTTGTTACAAATAAGATTCATAAAATGCACAGGGAGGGAGAGAGAGAATGTCTGAAAATTCTCATAACCTTGACAAGTAGGGAGAAAACTGATGATTTTTTTCATCCTTGTGTAAAAAGAATAAAACAAGTGAATATTTATATATCTACTCAGCAACCATCTCTTGGCATCTGTCATTTTCCCCCTCTCAAAACCTGTTTCCTTGAGTATTCTGAAAAAAGATGGCAGCCGACAAAATGACTTGTAGATCTCAATGGTATTCATCATGATTTTTTTGGGGGGGTTGAATCTATATTTTATTCCACAGTGCCCAAGAATCACACAACCTCCAAGGAATTCTGGGAAAATATAAATATTGGTCTCCAGAAGACAGTCACTGAGACAAATCACTCTGATGAATAGATAAAAATAGAGTAATGAAATTAAAGTAACATATGCATTGCTTACTCCTAGTATTTGTCTTACATTAATTGAACAGTTAAGCTGAACAGGCCACACTGAGGCTTGCATCCACACTGCAGAAATAATCCAGTTTGATACCATTTTAACTGCAATGGCTCAATGCTATGGAATTATGGGAACTATAGTTTTGTGAGACATTTAGCCTTTTCTGTCAGAAGGCTCTGGTGCCACAACAAACTACAGTTGCATCGGCACAGAGGACTCGAAAGCATTGAATTTGGGTAAAACATTTGGCCACAACTTTATTTTGTACAGGATCGTAGAATTTTAACAGTTTTCATTTACTTTCTCCATTTGGATGACCTTCAAATAAAATCTTGACGCATGCGTTCATGCGATTAATTATAATCGCTATTGTATTAAATCCTCAAATTCTGCATGTGCCAAGGTATTAACTTCCTTAATTTAACAATCTTACATTTAACCCCTC